AATCCGGCTCGGCGAGAGGCCAGCTCGGTCGCACACAATCACACACATACGCACCGACACACACACAGACACACACACGCACACACACACACTCACACACACACGACCACACGCCCACCCACCCACCCTCCCACCCACACACCCACGCACCTACACATGCACGCGCACACGCACACGCACACGCACACGCACACGCACACACCCACACACCCACACATCCACCCACACACCCACCCACCCACCCACACACCCACACGCACACGCACACGCACACGCACGCGCACACGCACGCGCACACGCACACGCACACGCACGCGCACGCGCACGCGCACGCGCACGCACGCACTGGCACGCCAACGCGCACTGTCACGCACGGGCACGCGCACAAGCACGCACCGGCACTCACCGACACGCACAGGCACGCACCAGCACGCACAGCGCGCCTCGGCATGCACCGGCACGCACCGGCACGCACCATCACGCACGCACGGGCACGCACCGGCACGCACCAGCACGCATGCCCTAGCCTACAAGACGCCCAAAATATAAAAATTAGACTCGGGGTTGTCATGGTGTCCCACGCAGTTTTCGAGTTTCCATAAAAAGTAGAAGCTGTAACATTCCGGGCCTATTTTCGTAGAAACTTGACCAACGGCTTGTGACATCCTCACATGTCCGTGCCCATTCCGTGTCTATCCGTATATGACGAGAAGTGTGTCGATGTTTGCAAAACGTGTTTATTTGTAGTGTCTATTCGTGTCTATCTTCGCAGTTTTGTAACTCTCCATGTCCATCCCGTCGTGCCTAATTTTTGGAACGCGTGTCGATTTTCCCGCGATCCATCCACATTGGGGAGCCTTTGTTTCGCGCGTGTGTACATGTATACATGTATGCATGCATGGCGCGCTCCGCGGTATTCTCCCCACTCCATCGCACGCCCCGGTGCTTCTTCCCAGTCCTAAGGTTTCTCTCCCACTCCATCGCACTCCTCGGCGCTCCACCCAACTCCCCCGACTTCCCCCCTCTCCATTCTAACCGTCAGCATTCCTACGAACTCCTTCCCAATCCACTCCTCGGCTCTCCTCGCTACTCCGGACTCCTCGTTCCATCTCGCTCGTCGGCAGTCCTCCCGACTCTTGCCGACTTCTCCCCACTCTCTTGCACTCCTCGGCGACCCCCGCACTTCTCCAGACTCCAGCCCACCCCGTCGCACTCCACGGCGCTCCACGCCACCCCTCACCACTCCACCGCGCTCCTCGCCTCTCCTCCTGATCTTCATCGCACTCCTCGGATTCCCTTCTCACTCATCCAAGCCACCACGCACTCCATCGCACTCCGCGGCGCTCCTCCAAACTCTCCCCTTTCTTTCGCAATCCTCGGCGCTCCTCCCCCACATCCGCCATACCATAGGATTCCTCACAATTGTGTGTGCATGTGTGCAAGTCTGCGCATCTGTTTCCGTGCACGTACCAGACACATGTTACGTGCCTTCACTCTACGGGCGTTTCCCGCGTGATCCGCTGTACTTGCCACAATTTTCTTTCATATGCGAAGACTTGTCGTTCTGCTTGTGGTCAGTATGGGGAATTGCACTTTACTGTTCCAGTCGCGCGCTGAGCTTATAACACAACCGCGTTGTGCACATGTCAATGTATCGCGATCTAGACACTTGGTAGACCCATTAGACACGAAACGCGTTAGACAGTCCAGATCTGTTAGACACTCGTGAATTTTAGACACTAGACACTCGACCACCGCGCTCGGACGGGGGGCACGAGTGTCTAACGCGCGTCTAACACAACATGATCAAGACACTCGAGCACGGCGCCTCGACGGGAACGCTGAGTTTCCAAATCGCGTCTAACCCAAAATAGACACGTCTTCTAGGGACCGGCACGCACCGGCACGCACCGACACCGGCACTGGCACTGGCACCGGCACCGTGGCACCGGCACTGGCACCGGCACCGCGGCACCGGCACTGGCACCGGCACAGGCATCGGCACCGGCCCGGCACCGGCACCAGCTGGCACCGGACGGGCATCGGCACGGCACCGGCACGGTACGGCACGCGGCACCGCACGGCACGGCATAGACAAGACAAAATAAGAAAAGACAAGACACGACACGACAAAACAAGACCAGACTTGACCAGACCAGACAATACACCACACCACACACAACACAGCACACACAAACACAAACACAAACACACAAACACACAAACACACATGATACCGGAGAACACCCCAAGCAAAGTCTTCTTAGGGCGATCGGGCTTTGGTACTATTGGGCTATAGGGCGATGGGGCTATAGGTCTATGGAACTATAGGGCTATAGGGCAGTGGGGCTATAGGTCTTTAGGGCTATAGTGCTATAGGGCTATAGGACTGTAGGGCTATAGGGCCATGAGGCTCTGGGGCTCTGGAACTATGGGGCTGTAGGGCTATACGGCCATAGGGCTGTGAGTGTATAGGGCTGTGGGGCTATAGGGCTATACGACCATAAGGCTATAGGGTTATAGGGTTATAGGGCTATGGGGCTATAGGCATATAGAGCTATAGGCTTATAGGGATATAGGGCTATGGGGCTATAGGGCTATAGGGCTATAGGGATATAGGGCTATAGGGCTGTAGGGCTATCAGGCCATAGGGCTATATGGCTATATGGCTATATGGCTATTTGGGCATTTGGTCTATGGGGCTATTGGGCTATAGGGCTACAAGGCTATAGGGCTGCAGGGCTATAGGCCTATAGGGCTAGAGGTCTATAGGGCTATACGGGAAAGCGCGCCAGTGGATGGCCCCGAATACACAAAAGGGGGTGTGTGCTCGCAGAACCTCTCCCCGCCCCTCCCCCCCTTCAAAGGGGGGGTGAGAATTTCGACCCCCCCCCCCCCCCTTCGCCCCTTAAGGGGGAGGGGGGGGGGGTTCTGGACCCCCCTCCCCCCCTTGGCGCTGGAAAGGAGGGGGGGTCTCGGACCCCCCCCCTCCCCCCCTTTGCGCCGAACAAGGGGCTGGGGAGGGCGCTTCTCGGGTAGTGAGTAGAGAGTACAGTGTTTTGAAAAGCAATTGGTGAGTAGTGGTTATTTGATAACGAGTAGTGCGCAGTGAGTCGTGAGTGGTGAATAGTGAGTAGTGGGTAGTGGTAGTAGTGAATAGCGCCTAGAGGTTAGTGAGTATAGTGAATAGTGGGTAGTGAGAACTGGGAAGTAGTGAGTAAGGATTTGTGAGTAGTGAGTAGTGAGTACTGTGTAGTGAGTAATGCATAGGGAGTAGTACGCAGGGAGTAGGGATGAGGGGGTAGACAATAGCGAATAGCGAGGAGTGAATAGTGAGTAGTGAGTAGTACGTGAATAGAGAGTAGTGAGTGGTGAGTAGCGAATAGCGAGTAGGGGGTAGCGAGTATAGCGAGGAGGGCGTTGTGAGTAATCAGTAGTGAGGAGGGAGTAGTCAGGAGTCAAGAGTGAATAATGAGTAGGGAGTAGCGCGTAGCGACTGGGGAGTAGCGAGTAGTGAGTGGTGAGTTGTGGGTAGTGAGAAGCGAGAAGTGGGTATTAAGTAGTGGGTAGTGAGTAGGGAGTAGCGAGTAGAAATTAGTGAGTAGTGAGTAGTGAGTCGTGAGTAGTGAGAACTGAGTAGCGACTTGCGACTAGTGACTAGTGAGAGTAGTGAGTTGCGAGTAGTGCGTTAGTGGGTAGTGAATATGTCGTATTGGGTAGCGAGTAGCGGATACTGAGTAGTGAGTTGTGGGCAGTGCGTAGTGAGTAATGACTCGTGAGTTCTCAGTAGTAAGTAGTGGGTAGTGAAGAGTTTGTTGTTGGGTAGCGAGTAGGGCGTAGGGAGTAGTGACTACTGTGTAGGGAGTAGCGAGTAGCGAGTACCGAATAGTGGATAGTGAGTAGTGAGTTGTGGGCAGTGAGTATTGCGTAATGAAGTGTGAGTAGTGAGTAGTGGATAGTGGTTACTGAATAGTGATTTGTGATTCGTGAGTAGTGGTAGTGAGTTGTGCTTAGTGAGTAGTGAATATTTAGTAGTGGGTGGTGAATAGTTTGTAGTGAGTAGTGCGTCGTGGGTAGTAGGCAGTAGTGGTAAGTGAGTAGTGAGTATCGGGTAGTGGATTGTGGGTAGTGAGTAGTGCGTAGTGAGTAGTGAATACTGTTTGGGGCTAGGGTTTGGGTTTTGGGTTTTGGGAAAGGGGTTTCAGGAAGGAAAATAATTAGTGTTAGGGGTGGTACGGGTCGGGTTCTGGAGACAGGGGGCGCCGTGGCGAAAGGGGGGGCGTGGGGGGGGGCGATTTTGCGGCCAAAGGGGGGGGAGGGAGGGGGGGGGGGGGTCCCCCGCCCCCCCCCCCCCCTTTGAAAGGTGGGGAAGGGGGAGGACCCCCCCCGACGACGGACCGGGAAAGGGGGGGGGGTCCCCGACGACGGATCGGGAAATGGAGGGAGGGAGTGGGGGTTCCCCGACGACGGGTCGGGGAAAGGGGGTCCCCCCCCCCCCCCCCCTTGGGGCCATCCAGCGGCGCGCCCTCGCTGTACGGCACCCGGGCACCTGGGCACCCCGGCGGGTCGCGGAAATCGGTGACACACCTCACCGAACCATTTGATACCAGAGAAACCCTAATCATAATCATTTTTGGGCTACGGGGCTATAGGGCTATAGGGTTATGGGGCTATGGGGCTTGGGCTGTAGGGCTAGAGGGCTATAGGGCTAGAGGGCTATAGGGCTATATATGGCTGTAGGGCTATTGGGCTATCAAACTTTAGGGCTATAGGGCTACCGGGCACCTGGGCGGGCCGCTAAAATCGGCGGCACAGCTAACCTAACCATATGAATCCGCTAGGACCCCTAAAGAGGCAAGCTCTGATTCGGGAATGAATCTTCTAGGAACCCTACAGAGGCAAGCTCTGATTGGGGAACAAGCACACAAACACACACAGACACTCTTGTGGAACGCCCTCGGTACAATTGTGATGTGCACAAGTGGAGGGAAGGCTCGGTCCTTCTTCCTGTCGGACCAGCTATCCTCCAAATCCTCGAAGCCTATCTGGCAATCGAACGCAGGGAGCGTCGTCGTTGTGCTCGAAGTTGACGTTGTAGTCGTCGTGACGGTAACGGTTGTCGTCGTGATAGTGCCAGTGCTGGTTGTTGAGGTGGTGGTCGCAGAGGTCGTAGTTGTTGTGGTCGTCACCTCGGGCGCAACGCCACCCATGCCCGTCCGCCCGCAGGAGACCCCGAGCTTAGAAGTCGTGCGGACCAAGAGGCACTTGCACAACCCCGGAAGGAACGCGCACCGCGCAGGCACCTGCTGCGTGGCAGCGGCGCGTCGTGAGAAAACCCTCCGCCCACTGCCGCTGGCCTGTCCCAGTGGGCTGTGGAAACGAAGCCTTAGCCTTACGTCGGGCCTGTCCCCCTACAGGGGGATTTTCGACGAAAAATGAAAAATACCCCAAAAATAATCAAATAATTGTCCACGAATAATGTGGGGACTATTTTTTGAGCATTTTGTTTGTTTGCCATTTTGGGGCATTTTTTTTTTTTTCGTCGAAAATCCCCCTGTAGGGGGAGTCGCCCGACTTAACCTTAGCCTTATTCTCCCCCCTTCCGCCCAGAGGCGACACGCAGTCAGTGCTCAAGTGGACAACAGGCCGCGGCGGCGCGGACAGCGAATCTGGCTCAAAATGAACAGGAGCTGCTGTTGGGCATTGTACCCATTCCTTCTGTACCACTTTCGTGCGTGCAGACCAGTGGGCTGTGGAAACGAGGCCTTAGCCTCATCCTCCCCCCTTCCGCCCAGAGGCGACATACGCCGTCAGTGCTCGTGCGGCCCATCAGTCCTCCGGGCGCCACAGGGCCTCTCTCAGGCCGCCCGCGCAGCGCGCGCACGGGGACGACCTCTGCGCGGGCCCCGGCATCGGGGCAGGGCGAGCTGCTACAACGGAAGCTCGGCATCTGTCCCCTGGCCCTTCCCCTGGTCCAGAGGTGCACGTCGCTCCCTTCTCCTCGTGCTCGTTTCAAAACTGTGCTCGCTTCTGATCGTTCCTGGCCCTCCCTCGTGGCCAGGAAGAGGCCCAGGATAGGACACTTAGAAATGAAAGGATCCTGCCCCCCCCCAAAAATCAAAGAACTTTCGAAGAATTAGAAATGAAAGGATCCTGGCCCCTCCAAAAATCAAATATCCTTCGAAGAGGTAGAGATGGACCGTGTGTACAAGTTTTCCGAGCGGCAGCCAGCCCTGGCGACGAGGGGCCCTCCCGAAGGCCAACCACCACCGTCTCGGCTCGCCCCCCTCTACTGCAAAACAATCCTCTGGAGAACGGCAGAGAAACCCAAACATGGAGAGAGCGTGATCCACCGCCGCTTTACTGTGGAAAATTGCCGCCCTTTTCCTCCGGAGCCCGGGGGTCACCCCACCCCCTCCGAAAATCCCCCCCCCCCTGCTGGAACCCCTCCCCCCCCCCCTTCCCCGTCAACCCCCCCCCCTAACCCCTCCCCCCCCCCCCCTCCCCCCGAAAGCCGGGGGGTCACTACCGGTTCGAACCCCCCCCCCCCCCCCCTCGAAAACCGGAGGGGGGGGTCACTACCGGTTCGAACCCCTCCCCACCCCCCCCCTCTCACCGCCAGCAAACGACTCCCGGTCCCTACCACCGTCCTCACCACATCCCCCACTGTTGTTCCCAGCACCACTGTCCTCACCACCACTGTCCCCACTGGTTCCACCACCGCCCCTACTGTCCCCACCAGTGCCACCACCACTGTCGCACTGTCCCCACTGTCCCCACCACTGTTCCCACCACGGTTCCACTCTCCCAACTTTCTCCACGGCCCCAACCACTGCCCGACTATCCCCACTGTCCCACTGTCCCACTGACTCCTCCGCTGTCCCACTGAGCTGTCCCACTGTTCCCACCACTGTCCCCACTGTCCCCACCACTGTCCCCACTGTACCTCTGTCCCATTGTCCCACCGCCGTCCTCGCCACCGCCTTCACCACTGTCCCCACCACCACTGTACCCTCCACTGTCCTACTGTTTCCACCACATTCCCACTGTCCCCACACCACTGTCCCCACCACCACCGTCCCCACCACTGTCCCACTGTCCCCACTGTTCCCACCATTGTCCTCACCATTGTCCCCACCACTACCGTCCCCACCACTACCGTCCCCACCACTGTCCCACTGTCCCCACCACTGTCCCGCTGTCCCCTCACCACTGTCCCCACCACCACCGCACCACCGTCCCCACCACTGTCCGCACCCCCCCTCGGTTTTCGAGGGGGGGGGGGTTCGAACCGGCAGTGACCCCCCCCGGTTTTCGAGTTCGAAGGGGGGGGGGTTCGAACCGGTAGTGACCCCCCCCAGTTTTCGAGTTCGAGGGGGGGGGGGGGATTCGAACCGGTAGTGACCCCCCCCGCCTTGGGGGGGGAGGGGTTCGAACCGGTAGTGACCCCCCCCGGTTTTCCGGAGGGGGGGAGGGGAGGGGTTCGAACCGGTAGTGACCCCCCTCGGTTTTCCGCCAGCAGCGGTAGAACACGCTCTTTCCAAACATGCGATGCCCGGATTTTTCCACTACTCGGGGATGGACAGAACCCCCTCCAGCAAAACGTGGTTTAGTGAAAACGACCTCGGGCCCAAACCTGGCGGGCGCAAGCCTGAAAAATGACGGCCGCGGCGCCCTCTCGAGAACCGAAAACGGACAACTCACTAATCGACGTGTCAGGGTGGGGGTTCTGTCCACCCCCAAACTACGCGGTCTTCAGAATCCCCGGCCCCTTCCCCAAGCAAGACCGGTTCTTCGTCGCGAATTTTTTTTGTTTAGGTCCCGGGCCTGGCGAGGGCGCCCCCGGGGGCAGAAGACGACGAAAACCCTCCATCGTACTTTGTTTACGACGACGGGGACTTGCTCTCCCCCCCTCCGCCCGCACGACCAGCGAGCACGAGAGGACGGCAAGAATCGGCAATGCTCCTCTCTCCCCCCTGGGCGCCGTTCTTGTCGTCGTGGTTGGTGTGGCCGTGGTTGTGGTGCTCGTGGCGGTGGTCGTGTTCGTGGTGCAACCGACCTGCTGGTGCCTGCGGAGTGGGTTGGGGGGGGAGCTCCTCTGGGCGCGTCGCCGCGTCGTCGTCGTCGTCGCCGCAACAGCCGTCGTCGTCGTCGTCGTCGTCGTCGTCGTCGTCGTCGTCGCCTTGCGGCCCGGGGGGCGGCTGGGCCGGCCGAGCCGGAAGCCGGCCGAGCGCCGAGGCCGTCCTGCGCCACCGCGCCCCCCGGGAGGCCGCGGCTGGGGGCCCGGCAATCTGTGGGCGTTGCTTACTGGGGGAGGGGGGGGGGGATAAGTAAGGGGGGAGGAGCGGTGCACTTTTCGGGCCCTCGGGGCCCCTTATGGACCCCACAAGGCCCCATCGAGGGGCCCTACAGGGTTCCTACTTCGGCAGCCCCCGCTGCCCCCAATCCACTGCCCCCCCACTGCGACGCCCAAGCAAACCCGTGCCCTGACGATCCGGGCTTTGGCCTCTGACGCCGCGTGCAGCGCTCGACCTTGAGCGTAGCTGGTCCGACACGCAGCACGCAACATGTGACGAGTCGAAGCGGAGCTCATCACGGAGACTGCAGACGTGGGTGCGGCGCGGTACGCTCGCCAAAGCGTGGGCCCACACATGCCGAGCCGACGCGTAGCGGGTTGACGCGGACGATTCGAACACGGCGCGCGCTGCGCTTCAGCGCGACGCGGGCGTGTGAGGGCAGCTCAGGTCGTGGCGATCTGGGTTTTGGTGTCTGACGCCGCGCGGAGCGCGAGCTGCGCCCTCGCGTGGGACCTCATCGCCATTTGATCAGACGCCGCGCCCTCGACCCTGAGGAATCGCGCTATCGCTCGAAACTTCCTCGCGATTCATGCAGGACTCACGCTTCAGCAGCCCGCCTGCTCGACCTGGCCGCCTGGGCCCACTTTCCCGACCCGCCCGCTGGGCGCTGCCCGTCCGCGCTGCCCGTGTGGGTCTGCCACGTGTTTTCTGCTCCTACCCCCCCTCTCCTGCTAAGTTCTCTCTTGCTCCATCCTTCCCCCTCTTCTTTCCGTCCGCTTTTTCTTCCGCTATTTTTTTCCACCCCTGAGATCGAACACCGTGTATAACTACGTACACTCAAAGCCCGATAAACAAATCCACTGGCCGAACGATACGAATTCCCACTTAAAACATATCAACCGGGCCGAGATCTTCCGCTACTTTAAGGGCTGCGCTAAAACGTGGCGGGTAAGGAAGGTCTACCCCCAAGAAGGTATCAGCGAAAACAGACGGGGCGGGTACTCCAGATTTCGTAATAAAGGGAGGGGGGTCTCATTTCGGGGGGGGGTCTTTTCTGGGCTATTTTGGAGGGCCTGGGGGGTCAGGGGACGATGTTTTGGAGGGTTCTCCCACGAGGGAGGTCTGAAATGATGGCTTGTCTTGGAGGGTCCAGACCCCCTTCCCTTTTATTACGAAATCTGGAGTACCGAGAGTTGGGGACATGCGTGTGGAGTGGCCCGCGAGCAACGAAGAGCGAGCAGTCTTGACATATGTGCTGCGGCTGTTGTTGCTGCCGCTGCTGTTGCTATTGATGTTGTTGTTCTTGTTGAACATTATTAATTCTAAAGAATAATTATTGTTGGGCCCCCTGGTGCGCGCCCCCCCCGCCGCGCCTAGGCCGCAGCCGCGTTTTCATCATTTTCGTGAGGAAGCCTCAGGTAATTCGATGTGATCAAGATCCGGTTGTTTTGTTCCCCCCCGTTTTCCCTTGCAAAAAACACTATAAAATGACATTTCTTGTTCTAATATAATCAAATTTCAAGAATCCCTTGCAAAAAATAAGGTAAAGTGGACATTCGCGCGCGCAAGACGAAATCCTTCCAAAAGCTTAGTGTTCGGAGCGATTTTAACATAAAAACATCAAAAAACCAATGGTTTTTCAACAAAAAAATGTCAAAATCTCATCCCGCGCGCTCTTGCGGATTCGTAGGAAACCCAACACTTTTTAAACATTTCTGTCAAACGGGCTTTTGCGAGCAACTTTTTCGAACTTCTGCGACAACGGTTGCGCACCTGCCAGGGCCATCATCCCTGTCAAATAATACCATGCGGGACACATTCGTTTTTTCTTCGCGCGCGCACGCCGAAATCTCCAAAAACCATTGGGTTCTGTGGGTGTGTACCCCACGCCAGTGTAGTAGCCACGGTCGTCCGCACGCCACGAAGTGAAGTGTCCCAACGTCATAGGGCGGGAAGCTGGGTTTGGGTGGTCGCGAAGAGTCGTTTGGATATTTGGTAGAGCTTGTAATGCCCCCCCACGAAGTGGGGGTATTGCCTGGTGTCGTATGAAAACCCTGGCACTGGGGAGAACACCACGCGTTCGGGTAAAATGATTGCTGTTGTTGTTGATGTTGTTGTTGCTGTTGTTGTTGCTGTTGTGATTGTTGCTGTTGTTGTTGTTGCTGTTGTTGTTGTGGTTGTTGTTGTTGTTGTTGTTGAACTTTCACGAATGAAACATAATTATTGTTGATCCACCCTCTGGGGCACGTTGTACTTTTCAGTTGATATGCCCTGGTCCGGGGCTCGCGCCCTGTCTTAATCAAGGAAAACATTGGGTTTCAGAATGGAGCCCTTGGCCCCCGAAGTGCAACAGCAACGGTTCCCGCCGTGTGCCTTGTCGCCCCCCCCCATGAGCGCCAACCTATCGGAAACGGGACTGGGTAGCAGGTTGGTGCGCCGTGAAGGGCGACCAGTGGACCCGGCCCCGTTACGGGAGGTTGAAAGTTGCTCCGCTGTTGGGTTCCCACCTCTAACGATCAATTATTGTTGATCCCATCTCTCTCTTTCTCTCTGGTAACTTTTGTGTTTTCTCGATTAAACTGCTTCTCATGGGGCTCGCACTTTGTTTTCTACAAATGAATGCTGGGTGTCACCAAACTGGGCCCAGGGCCCTCTGTTTACAACACCATCAGCGGCTCCCGCCTGATACTTCCACACACTTTATTCCCGAATCGCGCTCTCCCGCGGGACTTCCTTACAATTTATGCAGGAATCGCGCTCTCGCGCGGGACTTCCTCGCTAGTTATTCAGACGCCGCGCCCTCGACACTTTGGAATCACGCTCTCGTTTTGGCCTCTCTCACGATTCACTTGGGAATCGCGCTATTGCTCGAGACTTGCGATTCATGCAGGACGAACGCTTCAGCAACCCGCCTGCTCCACCTGGCCGCCTGGGTCTGCCTTCCCGACCCGCCTGTTAGGTTCTACCCGCCTGTTCTGCCCGTCTGATTATGCTATGCACTTTCTGCTCATAGCCCCCCTCCTGCTACTCTCTCTCTCTCTCTTGTGCTCCATCCTCCTCCCTCCTCCTCAGCTTTTTCTTCAATCCGTCCTCTTTTCCCCTGCCGTGGGGGCTGCATGCAATACACGTTGCAGTTAAGAAAGATACACCCCCAAGGGGTACGAACGAAGACGAAGAGGGCGGGTATCGAAGGGTTTGGGATGTACGTGTTGAATGGTATGCGAGCAGATAAGAGCGGACAGTCTTAACATGATTATTGTGCTTGTTGTTGCTGTTGCTGTTGTTGATATTGTTGTTGTTGCCACTGTTGTTCTTGTTGTTGAATCTTCATTCCAGAAGAACACTTACTGTTGGTCGCCCCTCACCTGTAACCATTGAATTTTGAAAGTACGACTCTCCCTCCGGGGCTCGCGCCTAGGTTTTTATAAAGGACAACGTGGGGTCACCAATCTGTGCCCCTGGCCCCCGGTTTACAACAACAGTGTCTCGCGCCTGGTACTTCCTCGCGATGTATTCCCAACTCGCGCTCTCGCGCGGGACTTCCTCGCCACTTATTAAGACGCCGCGCCCTTGACAATCACGAACCACGCCCTCGCTGTGAATTTCCTGACGATTTGTTTGGGAATCGCACTTTCGCTCGAGACTGCCTTGCGATTCGTGCAGGACGTGCGCTTCAGCAGCCCGCCTGCTCGAACTGGCCGCCTGGGCCCGCTTCCTGACCCGCCCGTTGGGGTCTGCTCGCCTGATCTGCCCGTCTGGTTCTGCCACGTGTTTTCTGTTCCTAGGGCACCCTTCCTGCTAATCTCTCTCGTGCTCCATTTTCCTTTCTCCCCCTTGTCCCGTCGTTCCATCCGTCCAGTGTTCCCTTGCCGTGGGGGCTGCACGAAATCCACGATGCAGGTAAGAAAGATAAACTCTTAATGGGGGTGCGATCGAGGCCAGAGAGGGCGGGTATCGAGTGTTTCGGATATGCGTGTTGAATGGCCCGCTAGCAGATAAGAGCGGTCAGTCTTAACATTATTATTGTGTTGTTTCTGTTGTTATTGTTGTTGTTGTTGTTGTTGTTGTTGTTGTTGTTGAATTCTCATTTCTAAATAAATATTGTTGATCCCCCTTGTCCGGTAACGATTGTGGTTTTCACTTAAAATGCTTCACCCGGGGTTCGTACTCTGTTTTTCCCCAACCATCCTGTGGTGTTGGGTCCTCGTTTTGAAAAGACAACGCCGCGCATCCCTCGTTCCTCCCCTCCTCCTCGTCCTCCTCCTCCTCCCTCTCCTCCCTCCTCCCGTCGCACTCCTCACTTTGGCACGCCCCTCACACGTCTCGTGGCCCCACAGGAAGCTCCACCGAAGGCCCCAGTGCGTCCGCATGCGCCCCCCGCGCCCATGTCGGCACACCCCTCACACGTTTAGTGGCCCCATAGGGAGCTCCACCGAAGGCCCCAGTGCCACCGTCCACATGCGTCCCCCGCACCAATTTCGACACACCCCTCACACGTTTTGTGGCCCCATAAGGGGGCCCCTCCCGAGGCCCCAGTGCCACCGTCCACTTGCGTCCCCCGCCCAAATTTCGACACATTCCTCACACGTTTCGCGGCCCCATAGGGAGCTCCACCGAAGGCCTCAGTGCAACCGCCCACATGCGTCCCCTACATCATTCCGGCACATCTCTCACACGTTTCGCTGCCCCATATGGAGCTCCACCGAAGGCCCCAGTGCCACCGTCCACATGCGTCCCCCGCACCCATTTCGGCACACCCCTCACACGTTCCG